AGTATGGTGCTGTGTTCCCAGATGCCAGAATACACAGGGATGGGTGTAGAAGTGGTCCCTCTCGTCATCACTCTCCTTGGTCCACTTGCACCAGGTGAGAGGATGTTGGATCTCGGGAGAGTCACTCAGGAATATGCCTAGAACTCAGGGATTCCATGCCTGGTGATATCAGAAGAAGACGCCCTTGCAACAATGATGACCGGACAAGGCCAGGTCATCTGAAGACTCAGACCGCTCCGGGATGTGGGTCTGAGTCGCCCCGCAGGCGAGCACCGAGACCGGGCGACGACCTGGAGGATCTAGAACAAGTGATGGAGCAGGAAGAGCACGACCAGCACTGCCAGCCTTGGACGTGCTGCCGCGGAGAGTGGGGTTGTAACTCGTCCCACTGACTCTCCTGCACAAGGTGTTTTCACTGGAGTGATTCTGACTGGCCACTACCCTGGGACTCGGTGACTGGATGCACTTAACATGGGGCATAAGTGGATCAGAGTGGTGCAGACAGCAGACGGGAGAGACTGTTCGGGGTACCCTGCATCACATCCCCTTTGTCACCCTCTGCTTTCAGCTGCAGCCGTGGTAGACAGTTCTTTGTGAACTTAGTCTCATGCTGACGGCACCCCCAATTCAAGCACATGGAGTGCGCAAGTCTGATGTCTGTTCAAGAGCCTTCTTCAAAGCCACGGGAGTCTGTGACTTGTGTAGCTCAAACATAGCCCAGAAGTTAGGGGACTTAATGCCCTGGGACCAGCCTCCGTAAGGGAGGCTGGGAGCCAGTGGGTGGATGCTCCTGCCTCCCCTGCCCTGGCCAGAGGGTACACACCCAGCCTCACATTTTTTGTTTGGACACTTCCGGGAGGCTTTCTGCCCGCCTGCTTCTCAGGAGAGCCCAGTGAATTGGGCCCCCGCTGCTCACAGCGGTCGGTGACTTTGATGTTGGACCTTGTGTTGGCTTCTCCTCCTTTGCTGTCACTCCCCTCACGCCCATGTCCTGAGACCACCTCCCAAATAAACTGCCTGCACCTGAGTCCTTGTCTCAAATTCTGCTTCTGGGAAAATCCAAACTGACAAGGGGAAAAAGGCTGAGTTCACTCTGAGCTTGACATGGTGAAGAGACATCCAGTGGAAACAGGCAGCAGGCAGTGGCTGGATGACTTTTGGAGATGCAGACTTATAAGCGTAAGGTAGAAGATAAAAACCACAGCCACCCACTGCTCCCCCCACAAAGAAAAAAAATATTAAAGAGGCTTGTGGAAGAGAAGCACCCTTCTAGGGTGGTGGTTCTCGCTCAGGGGCCATTGGATAACACCCGAGGCCATTTTTAGTTGCCACAGTGTTGGGAGGTGGAGAGCAGGAGATGGGGGCTGCTACTGGCATCTAGGGAGTAGAGGTCAGGGATGCTGACCATCCTGCAGTGGACGGGTCAGATCCCCACAACGAAGAATTACCCAGCCCTGAATGTCAAAAATGCCGACGTTAAGAAACTGTTCTAAGAATACTGCAAAGGAATAGTGAGTGGTAGAAAGAAAATCAGGAGCGAGCAGTGCTGTGAAGGCCAGAGGTTCCTGGAGCCAGAAAGGCCAGCAGGTCAATGCCACAGAGGGGTCAGGGAAGGTAGGAACCAGTAACCGTCCACCGTCGCAACAAGGAACTTTACTAACGCAGTTTCATCAGCAGGCGGGCAGAGGTCCGTATGGAGTCAGGGAAGGCGAGACTGGAAGGCTGTTAATGAAGACAAGGACAGGTTCTTTCCAGGAGCTTTGAAATGAATGGAAGGAAGGGGCTGGGATGAGCTAGAAGGAGCTGTAGAGTGAAGGAAGCGTTTAGAGACACTGGGGAGACAGACATCCTGTATATACCGATGATAAAGAACCAGCTGGGATTTGGAACGGGCATGATTGGTGGATGAGAGAGCCCAGGGAATAATCCGTGGTACCAAAAACCAGAGCAGAGGTGCACCAACTTGGATCAGGTAAGGAGAACGCCTTCCTCTGAAGCTGGAAGGAGGGGGGCGGGTGTAGTTATACATGCAGCTGGGGAGAGAGTGTGGCCTGTTGAAGGTTAACCTGGGGCCTTTTTGTTCTTTGTGTCTGGGCGTCGTGGCCATCAGCTGAGGAGAGGCGGTGGGTAGCAGGCTTCCTAGTAACTACTTGTTGATTGATTATATAGGGTGGTTTGTTGCACTGCGATTTGTATTGCTCTGCTCTCCCCAGAGTCTCCTTGGGAAGTCTGTCTGTCTTCTTGCCTGGTCTGCTCCAGAGGTGAGCTGGGACTCAGGTTCCCGCTAATACTGCCCTTCTCTGTGGGATGCCCGTGGGAATCCAGAGCTCCCTTCAAGGAGTTCATGGACTTGGGTTTTAGGTGTTTGGGGTCACCTCTGTCTCCTGGTTCCTGTGTCTATATGTGCCCTCTCTGTTCTGCCATGGATTTAAACTCGGACATGAAATCCTTCCCGTATTCTGCAAAACCGCCTCACACTAAGCCCTGGGGCGTGTGGCGGGGTCTGGGTTCTTGCAGTGCCCATCCTTGTGCCATCTCATGAGCACCTGCTCTCCCTCTTCCCTCCTCTGCCCCTCATCTATCTCCTGCAAATTGCCCTCGTCTCCAAATCCTTCTCCCCCTGTTCACTTGGCCCTCCTGCACTCCCAAACAGGCTTAGCCCAAACCACCACGTGTACAGTAGACCAGAACGCCTTCTATTAGCCAGACTCATTCTCCAACAGAAAGTGATTATGGTTTAAAATTGTGAAAATACGCTCTCGGTAAGACTACAAATTCACCTGTTAGAGTTTGGGAACCTCAGATTTACGCCCAAACCCACCGCAGCATCTCGCTTTAAGCCAGGAAGGCTCCACACTTCAAGACTATCATCTCAAGTTACCAGCTCTTCAGGGACAGCGCAGGGAGAGGTTGAGGGGCCGAGTAAAGCTGGAGGCAAGTAAGAGGCCCAGCTGGGAAGAGGGTCCCAACCACCTCGACCCCCTCCTCTGCCTCCAGAGGGCTGGCCTAGAAGTCAGAAGGCCCCGCTTCTGGAACTTGTGGCTCCCCGGTCTTGTGATCTGAAGCCTCGGTGATCACCGTCTGTAAAGTGAGGACAGCAAGGGAGGAGGAAACATTTAATGAAATAGGATCTATGAATACCTGCCTCATAGTAGCCACTTAATATGCCCTAGACACCATGTTCCCCTCTGCTTTTGCAACAAGAGAAAGTGAGCCGTACCATTTCTTGCCTCTGTGCTCAGAACTATTAGCTGGATGTTGGGTGACCTTTGACCACTTCCCTCTTCAGCGCTGGCCGATCAGTCAGCAAGTGGGGGTGGAACGCCGCACTGGTCACCACCGTGTCTCATGGGATGAGGCATAAGAACCCTGTGTGTCCGCAAGAGCTCCAGCTCTGGGGAGGGGCCGGGGGAAGATGAGGGAGTTAAATGTGGTCAGACCGGGGTGAAGACAGTGTGGGACTGACGACCAGAGCAGGACTTATTTTAGAAAGAGGAGAAGGGAGGGTACAGCTCAGTGGTAGAGCGCATGCTTAGCATACATAAGGTCCTGGGTTCAATCCCCTATACCTCTTCTAAAAATAAGACACCTAATTACCTCCCGCAAGAAAATTTTTTAAAAAGGCAGATGAATTAACACTTCATTAAGAATTTTTCTTTTTCTTTTCTTTTCTTTCTTTCTTTTTTTTTTTTTTTTTGTACTTTGTATTTTAAACTTCCCCCACGAAGAAATTGGTGCCGCCTCCCCACCAAGTCAGGGTCGGGCCCACCCACCACCGCCAGGAGGGCTCCCGGTGCAGTACTGGCGGTGTCCAGCAGGGGGCGGCCTAGCTCTTGGGCTGAGAACAGCTGACGGGAGATTCCATGGAGGCTCTCTCTAAGAGAGGGTTTTGCAGACTTTCCGAACCATGACCCACAGTAAGACATGTATTTTACCTCACAGCCCACTAGAGGTTTATGCGCAGGTGTATTTTGCTAAACAATACTTAGTCTTACTCCCTGGGTGCGGTCTGATCTAGTTGGCTCAGTTCTGGCCGGGATTTGGTCGTTTAAAAACTACTGCTCACGTCTACCAATAGATGGAGACCTGCACTCTGAAACTCACTGGGCGTCTCAGCGGGAGGAGTGGGGGACGGCGGGGGAGGTTTGGGGTCACCTACAAAAGGACCTCTCCTTGTGGCCGTTGAAGGTGTGGGCCTGGGAGCCAGGCTGCCACGTGTAGTCCCAGCCCTGCCCTTTTCTCCATCTGTGGCCGCACGACCTACTCCACCGCTCCGTGCTCAGTAAAAGGCAGCGCTGGTTGTAATGACAGCTCCTCCCCGACTCAGAAACAAGCATTGCTGCGGAGTGCCAGTCAGAGCCTGCCTGGTGTCTCGGGGGTTCGCTGATCCAGCACGTGTTTGCTGACACCAGTTACTGAAGATAACTGAGCAGAAAGCTGCCGGCCTGGCCAAGGTGGCCCGACAGTGACAACAGATGTGACGGGTGCGGTGGTGGTGGTTAGCACTGGGCGCTCTGGGAGCACGTGGGGATCCAGAGGACTGCTTACTCGGTGCCTTTCACGGCACAGTCCCCGGACCAGCAGCAGAGCCCGGAAACTTGTTAGAAGTGTGGGTTCTCAGGCCTTAACCTAGGTGTACAGAATCAGAACCCAGCGGCGGGCCCGGCTCTCTGTTTACTAAGCCCTCCTGGTGATCCGGATGCACATCCCAGTTTGGGAATGACTGCCAGTGGCTACCAGACTGCGCTGCACCTTGCTGTCACCTGGGGCCCCCAGTATCAACCTAATCACAGTGTCTGGGAGTGGGAGTCAGGCGTCGGTAGTTTAAAAAGGCTTCCCAGGGGGTTCCAATGTGGAGCCAAGTAGGGGAAGCGCTGCCCCAGTCCGAACCCAAACCGGGGGGTGGGGCGTCTGAGAAGGCTTCCTGGAGGGGGTGCTGTGTCGGCAGAAGCCTTAAGTGCAGTGGGGGGCTGTGTGTGAACATGGGTTGGAGGGTTGAGGGGGTTCCTGGTGCCTAAAGAAGTGTCAAAGGAACTGTAATCTAGCATCGAAGAATCTCTGGGGACAAGCCATGTGGGTGTGAATCACGCTGCGCCCTTACTGGCTAGCGTGACCCAACTTCTCCATTCTTATATGTGCTTATAAATGTAAGCACCCCCAAAACGTGGGGGCTGCGTGTGATGAGAGAGGGGGAACAAAGCCTCCGCAGACTTTATCACCACGCACTGGACCTAAAGGCCCTGGGAAGGCACAGGAGGGTGTCAGGTACGGGGGGACCGTGTGGAGATGTGTGTGGAGAATAATGTGGCTGGAGGACAGTGATCAGGGAGAGGCTCGTCACCATGAGACAGGTCAGAGGTGATGGTGGCCAACCTGCCAGAGGGATGATAGAAGACCTGTTAAGATGCTGAAATAGGCAGGACTTGGAGATGAGGAAACGTCCCATTTCTGGGCTCAATGAACTGGGTGGTCTGTGTGCAGTTAGGGAGCCCCCTGTGCACCCAGCCCCCCCACTAGGTCTTTCCTTTGTGCTGTGGATCCAGGCCTGGTGACAGGCTTGCTCAGAGTGGGCCTTTTGACACTGACTCCCTGCCTCCATCCCCCCACACCCACGCTCTTCCTGACAACGGTTTGAGCACTTGGTTTGAGCACTCCTTGGCTGAAGGTGTGAAGGCCCCGTCCAGGTAGGTTCACTGCCTGTCACTGGAATGTGTCATACAGGTTCCCAGCTCCAGGCCGTGGCCCACGCCTCCCCCTTTCCTCCCTGCCTTCAGTCCATCCTCTACAGACACACTCCAGGCCTCGTCTCCCGGAAGTCCTCCTAAGCAAGTCTGCAAAGGACAGCATCGCGGACACGCCACTCGGTCATGTCGTCAGGCCTGCACCTGTGGCACCTGAAACAGAAGCTCTTGGAGGCTGGGGGGGCTCTCCACACCCCTGCCCCTCCCACGATGCCTGGCTCAGTGTTCAGCTGAGCAGATGTGGGGGTAAGGCCCCCCTGATTGGCTTGGGAGGAAAACACGGAATTCAATTACCAGCCAGGAGGGCCCTGTTGAGAATTAGATTATCAGAATTGTCAGCTGAGGCCTCGGCCCCTAAGGGCTCCGTGGGCGAGAGCAGAAGATGGAAACTTCTGACAGTGTCGTGCCGTCCGGTCTCGCTTCTTCATCCTGCGGCGAAAGGTGGAGACAGCTGGGCTCTCTGTGCGCCCCTGCCCAGCCCTCTCCAAGGCAGTTGCTCCCAGCGCCTGGCGGTGGAGGGGACGGATGCTGCTGGCACCCAGCGAGGGACAGAGCCAGGGGCAGTGTTCAACAAAAACCGCTTAGCTGCTAAGGATCCACTGACTGTGTCTAAGGCCATGTTAGGTGCTGCTCAGGAGGTGCCAGAAATATTAAGACAAAAGCCTCAGAAAAAGTAGGAGAAGGGTACGAAGTGCAGGGCTGAGTTGTGTAACACAGATGCTAGTACCTGGGGGATGGAAGCAAGCACTCAGGCTATGGACCAGACAGCCCTGGGCTTGTTCACCAGCTAAGGGATGCTGAGCAAAGCAGGGACCTGAACTTCTCTGAATCTCAGTTTCCTCATCTGCTAAATGGGGATGATAATTGCAGCTGTTGTTCAAGTGATTATAATTATATCTATTCAAAATCATGATACAGTGATTAAATTGATTGATACGGGTGATAAAGTATGGAAAGTCCTTTAGCCAAGTGTCCAGCACAGAACAAGCTCTGATAAGTGGTAAACAGTGCTGTCACTACTGTTTCCTCCTGGTTATGAGTCATTCCAGGAGTTCAGGAAAGGGCAGATCCAGCTGAATGATTCTGGACGGCCCGAGGAGACAGGACTTGTAGGGTGGGTCAGCCAGCCAGAGGGAGCAAAATGTCCTGATTTTCAAAAGGATAATAATATGGTTCCTGGGATATAAGCTTAATGTCACTCGACAGCATTCTAGAATTATTAAACAGATGGTCTGGGAGCACTTTACAGAGAACCGTGCTCACTCCAGAATTAATTCATTAAATCATATCAAACCAAACCCCCATTACCAAAGGATTTTTTTTAATCACTCAGCATATCTGCTGTTAGCATGGCAGGAAAAACAGAAGCTATCTTGTGGCAAGCACTGAGCGAAGCTTCCCACGCTGTCCTGTGGACGTGAGGGGGACGTGTGAGCAGGGTGAGGGGAGGTCTGTGACGGTATGGATGGTTTTGCTCCAGGAGCTGGAGGACTGGATGGATATCAGCCTGGGGAGATGTCCCCGGTGGCAGGTCACAGGGCTGTGGTCCGGTCACTGAGAAGCCAGACGTGGCACATGGTGGGAGGGACGGCACAGTAGAGTACATCGTGGCACTTAAGGATTCAGCCAATTATCAGCAAAAAATAACAGCAGAACAGCAGAGAAGTAACATTATACACTTATTTTTTTCCCCCAATGGAGTGATAAGAGCTTATGGTAGAAAATTTGGAAATTGTAGAAGATCATAAAGAAGTACCCAAATAATGCCTGTAATTCTCTCTGAATGACATGGTTTATTTATTATTATTGTTTTTAACGGAGGCACTGGGGATTGAACCCAGGACCTCATGGATACTAAGCATGTGCTCTACCTCTGCGCTATGCCCCCACCTGGCATGGCTTAATAGCACGGCTAGGAAGAATGATGGTGACAGGGGGAGTTCGGGGGATACCTAAGACGATGTGGACTTCAGATTGTTGAACCCAGGAAAGGGCTCCTGCTGTATCAGTCCCTGACGCGTTGACAGGCTAACGGGAAAAAACGTGGAGGCTCTCCTGTACTGGTCATGAGAGCAGGACAGGAGGCCAGTCTCAGCTCACCGCGAACGAAAGCGCCTTTGAAAAGTAAGCGCCCACCAGTGGGAGGCCGCCTGGGGAGGGTGGGAGGGGGTCCCGGTCACTGGGAGACTTAAGCAGAAGCTGGCTCTTGGCCGCTGTCTTCTCTGAATGTCACCAAAGATTCCTTGCCCTGCTCTGGTTCCTTTCATCTCTAAGATTTGTGCATCTAGAGGTGAAGACGTGAAGGCAGAAGGAAACGTGTTCAGTTTTGACTGAGCGGAAAGAACATGTTGCAAAACGGAGTGCTCTCAACTTTGTTGAAAGCATAACGTTAAGTACACGTTTGTTGACGAGAGACGGCAAGAAAATGGAGATTGACGCTTGGACTGTGGGAGATGCTTCTCACCTCTGGGCTGTTCTGATTTGCCCAACTTTTCTACATTGACTTATTTAAAATACAATAAATGTCAGGTTAAAGTAAATGTGTCCCTTACACGAGTGAGGCTACTTTCTTTACTGAAACAATAAATTAGGAAGCAGATAAGAGGGAACAGAGCCTAGATAAATAAGTGGGGTGAGGTTGATTATAGACGGCCTTGAACGTCAGGCAGACTGTTTAGGTTTGATGGTCACTACAGCGGCAATGACAAGTTCGGCAAATGACCTTATTTGCTGCACCAAACTCAAGGTGGATAATCTGAAAGATAACATTGTGTTTATGGGGATGAGAGAACAGAAGGCAGTGATGGAAACTGCAAAACTCAGAGAAAAGCAGTGTCAAGGTAGGAAGCCTTGTAGGGGTCTTAAGGGAGTGATGCTGATTTGCTTATTCATTCATCCAGTTAAGTAGAATTTATTAAGCCCCTTCTGTATGCCAGACACTGCTGTGTATCGGATGCATGCATATATATATATATATATATACACACACACACACACACAATGGAATATTATTCAGTCATAAAAAGAATGAAATAATGCCATTTGCAGCAACATGGATGGACCTAGAGATTATCACACTAAGAGAAGTAAGTTAGACAGAGAAAGACAAACATCATATGATATCGCTTATATGTGGAATCTGAAAAAAAAATGATACAAATGAACTTATTTACAGAACAGACATAGACTTTGAGACATAGAAAATGAACTATAGGTGAGGGGAGATAGCTCAGTGGTAGAGTGCCTGCCTAGCATGCAGAAGGTCCTGGGTTCAATCCCCAGTACCTCCACTTAAGAAATAAGTAAGTAGACAAACCTAATTACCTCCTCCCCTAAAAAAAACACGAAAAAACTATAGTTACGAAAGGGGTATGGAGTTAACATATACACACTACTATATGTAAAATAGATAAACAACAAGGTCTTACAGTATAGCACAGGGAACTATATTCAATATCTTACAATAACCTATAATGAAAAAGAATATATATGTGAAATTGAATTAATTTGTTGTAAACCTGAAACTAACACAACATTATAAATCAACTATATGTCAATCAAAATTTGTTTTAAATTTTTAAAAAAGATGAGGGTAAAGTGGCCTATTAGCAGGTCCCTGCAAATCCGAGTGAAAGATTCTGAGTCTCAGGAACAGGGGTGGCGAGAATAGAAGTTCTGGTGGTACTTAGGGATGGTCTTTGCTTGCCTCACAGCTGCACTGAGGGTCCATTTCAGCCCAGCAAGCACTCAGCAAACACTGGGCAGGTAAATGGGAATGTGGTGGAAGACGGGCTTACAGTCACTTCACGTATATCGTCATCCCTCTGTGTTTGTGGGGGATCGGTTCCAGGATCCCCAAGGATACCCCAGTCTACGGATGCTCAAGCGCCGTGTACAAAATGGCGTAGTATTTGCATATAACCTACGAACATCCTCCCATCTACTTTAAATCATCTCTAGATCATTTGTAATACCAAATGCAATTTAAATGTGTTGTAAATAGTTGTAAATATGATATGCTGAATGCTATATAAATAGTTGCCGGATGCGTGGCACATTCAAGTTTTGCTTTTTGGAACTTTCTGGAATTTTTTTTTCCCAACTATTTTGATCAGCGGTTGCTTGAATTTGCAGGTGCAGAACCGGCTGATCTGGAGGACTGACTGAAGCTAGCTTGTTGCTCGTCATCCCGGTGTAGAAATGGCTTCTGGGAATATTTCCGTGGCTCGCTGTTAAAGGTGCAGAGATTGTACCACAATAGAAGTGTGTCCGCCAAGGCTGGGCCATAAACATGTAGCTACTGTAGGAGAAATAAAGCTAGAAACGATGGAGCCGGAAGCTAGTGTGGAGAACACGCTTCTGATCATCAAATGCATAAAATCAGAAACTCTGGTTCTTGTCAATTCCTATTCAAAACGGAAGTGTATGCCTACAATTAACAAGGACTCTCTCCTTGACCAAACTCTAGGCAGGTTCTCCTGAATTCTCTTATCAGCTGGGCCCTGATTTGGAGCTTTTGTGTTTGTCTCTGCATTGACCAGTTTTAGCAAGAATCCTGCTAAGTCAGCCAGCTTAGCTGGAGTCCCCTACCCTCCATGTCTGATCACCCCCATCCCCCAGCACCCCCCGGGGGATGTCCGATCCCCTTGGCCTGCCTTCAGGCCTTACCCCTGGTGTTTCCTCCGCGTAGTTTTCATCCATTGACCAACCCTGCTCCTTGCCTTTACATTCCCACTTGTCTTGTTGTGAACGACCCTGGTCTCTGTTCCTACTACCGAGCCCCTTTGTGGTAGCCAACCCCCTCGGAACAGCCTTCCTCACCATCTTCGACAAGTGTCATGAATGATTTTTTTTAACATAGTACACATCATACCTTTTTAAACGTAGGAATCACATGAAATAGAATTTATTAGATTTTTTTGTGTTTAAATTTTGGGTTGATTTGACCAAGAAAACTTGAAATGTCCCACATTCCTATAGTTTATATACAGAAGAAACTGGTAGAGGTTTCCCCAAGTTTAGCAACAAAACTAAACATTTCCATGACAATACCGACAATAATT